TCCTCTCCAGTCTGCATCCCCAGCAGGAAGAGCACCTTCACTGCCTTGCCCAGGACGGGGCTCTCGCTGCCCCACGTGCTGCGGATGATGTCCCGGTCGGCTCTGTTCCGAGGAGCCACCTGCACCAACAGTACCACAAACGGTGGCTCCTGCTCGCACGTCTGTGGCTCGTTTATCGTGAAGCGGTACTCATAAGGGTACTCCACCAAGTATGGCCTGGGAGACATGTAGGGAACCGGCGAGGGTTGAGCAGTGTGTGTTTGAATCTGCTCCACAATGACTGAAGACTGATTACTCCTCCAAAAATTCAGAGTTTCAGGATGTGCAGCTTCAGCTGGATCCCCAGCAGTCTGCTTCACTTCAGATCCATTTCCGTTTGTCAGTTTTCTGAAAGAAAAGAACCGCATTGCTGAACGGATCGACTGTTTAGGGTTCCACTCAGGTGCAAAGTCTTTTTTGCTTATGTAGATGATGCAAAACGTGACTGTAAGAACCAGAATGACGAAAAGACAGTGATGATTTGACAACCAACTCTTGTTTCCACGTTTGTCGGGATTCATGTCCTTCTGGCTGAAAGAAAAGAAAAAAACAGCTCTGAGGTAAGTCTGTTTTAGAAACGTCAAAATATTCAGTCATATTAAGTAAAAACTTACCTTTGGACACCCTTCACGGTTCCACACTCCAACATCCTGATCTGTAAATGCAGCTTTTTTTTTACTTTTTTTATCTGGCAGGAACAAATGAAAAAGAAAAATGATTCTACTCCTGACAGGACTTCAGTGATCAGCTGGGACTCCGTTGTTCATTATGAAAAACTGAAGCTACAGCCCAAACATTAGTCCCAGTTTCTCCTCCAGAACTAAACAAATCATCTGTCTTTAGTGCCGATGAACTCAACTGAGAAGTTTATATTCACTTGATCAGAACCCAGGAGGAGGCTGATAGTCAGCTCTTAATGATAAAATGAAACATTCTTTTCTGTCAGCGACACATTTAGTGCTTCTGATAACATAATAATCTTGTTCCAAACAAAGAAACAATATACCTATAACTTCTCTGTTATGCCTCAATTCATCAAAGGACTTTGGAAACAACTCTTATCATTTGAGCTGTGGGTTTTTTATCTTCAGTTTGGTTTTCAGCCTTAAAAACAATCAAGAAATGACCAAGTAACTTGATAATTCACATCTTTATTATCACCCACCACTGAATGGGAAAGGGTGATTGTGTTTTTTATCATGTATATGTTAAATTAACAAAAAAATATCTCAGGGACAACTGGGGTTTAATTTAACTTTCAGCAAACAATCATTAAATGTACAGTTTCAGTATACTGTATAATGTATGTATGTATGACTGGTGGGGTCAGTGGATGGATGGATGGATGGATAGATGGATAAATGGATGGATGGATGGATGGATGGATGGATGGATGGAAGGATGGATGGATGGATGGATGGATGGATGGATGGATGGATGGAAGGAAAGACGGGTGGATGGATGAATGAATAAATGGATGGATACATGGATGGAAAGATGGATGGATGGGTGTATAGATGGATGGATAAAAAGGTATAAATATATTTTGCTAACATCAGAATCAGGTTTATTATGCTGACACACACAATGATTTTTTTTTTCTGGCTGTTCGTGTCTCTCTAGTATTAATAATATACAGATACTTTACATATAATTTTATTTTTATTTATTATAAAAAAAATTTAATTTAAAACAAAAAACATAAATTCAATATTCAATAAAAATACAAACCATATGACAGGCAGCAGAAGAATAAAAAAAATCTTGTGATTTCTGACCCTTTTTCTCAAATAAATAAATTCAATCAAAATAATTTTCAATTTACAAAAACATACAAAAAACAAAAGAAAATCAATAAAGGGTTAATTCCTTCTTGAGCAACAATTCGTACATTATACCCATACACATTTCCCCAACAAATTAACCTTTATCATTCTCTGAAATATACACATTAATCTGGCATTTTTAACGTCGTCTTCCAGATTATTCCATAATTTAATTCCCTGTACTGAAGTACTCCATTACCTCAAAGTGGTTCTAATTTTAGGTCTCACAAACATTTCTATGCAATTCAGATTGTAATATCTCTCTCKTTTAACAAAATGTAATTGGATGTTTGAAGGTAATAAGTTTTTAATGGGCCCTATACAAAACTGACAAAATACTGTAATCAAACAAATCAGAGAATTTCAATAACTTGTTTTCTGGTAATAAATCTTATGGCTCTTTTCTGTAAAATAAAAAAAATGTTGTTGTTTTACATGCTTTTCCCCAAACCTCAACACAATAAATTAAGTGTGGAACAATTATTGCATTATACAACATAAACAGTGCTTTATCATTGAATAAGTCCTTTACTTTATACAATACWGCAATGGATTTKGYTATTTTTGTTCTTAAATGWTTTATRTGAGGTCTCYATRTCAGTTTTTCATCAATGATAACACCCAGAAACTTCACCTCACYGACTCTACAGATATTAATATCATCAATTCAAAATGGAACGTCGACAATTTTCTTTCTGTTACTAAATATCATATAATTAGTCTTATCTAAATTTAATGATAATTTATTAAGTTTAAACCAGGTTTGTATTTTAGCAAATTATGTTTGCATCATCTCCAACATCATTCTATATTTTTACCAAAACAAAACAACAAAAGCACGGTAGTATCATCTGCAAATAAAACACATTTGAACAACCCTGACAYATTTACTAAATCATTCACATATAAATTAAATAACTTTGGCCGAAKTACAGAACCTTRAGGAACTCCAMATGTGATATTACCCAATTCAAATCTTGTATCATTTATTTGTACAATGCCATATAATTTACTCACAATATATTGAAAGATACACATTATACTTAACTATACCAAGACATATCTGTGCGKTGTGCTACCAAAATGGCAGACGACAAACACACATGCACAAAAATGAACAAAGACCTTCTTGTTTGTGTTAGTTTCTTTGTTATTGTATCGTTACTCCATCTGCATCAAAGACCAAAGCCCAGTYCCTGGTCTAAACCCAGACCCTGAATTCTGAATATCTTTAGGCTATAAAGTTGAAATCATGTGAGCTGATAAAGTATCCAGATGACTTTAAGTTTYATCAGTCCCTGACTGAGGACACACAGTCACAGTCCTGCCATCAGCCTGGCACAGATTGTTTTCTGAACGGTCAGAGTCCTCTTAAAGATTTATGAAGATAAAACAGAACCTTATAAGTTTTTAGTTTTTCTGATTCTGTTGGTTAAACTGAACCGTATTTGTTCTGTCCTTGAAATGGTTTTATTTGTTTGTTTGTTTTTTAGTTGTAAACGAACCCATCAGGCCACAATGACCTTTTTTTTTTTCAAGCAAACACCAGTTTTATTTGCAATATGAGTTTTGACTGCTGGAAATTAGCCCTGTGAGCTCAAAATATATGTAAAATGTAGATTAAAACTCCACAGGCATCAAGTGTTTAAATGTTTTTAAAATGTTACAGTTCTTTGTTTAGGAAAGTATTGATTTTAATTAATTATGATAATTTGGTTTGATTTTGAAATCTAAGCACCGAACGTTTTCCCAGACTTGTCAAAAGGGTTTAAAAATAAAAAARGGTAGATTGAGACAGTGAAGGCACCAAGTCAGGGTAGTAACCTTTAGAAACATTTAACTGTCTAGTGGAACATGTTGTCTATATTGTGTCCCAAAGCTCCATGAAAATATCTTCCAAAACATAAATTTAGGTGCAGTTGGCGTCTAATTTTTTAAAGGTAATTGTTTATTATAGCAACGGAGAAACTAAAGCTTTCTGAATCACTGAATYAAAATGACCTGAGGTGGGTATGATTTTGCTAATCAGCTAGCAGCTAATTAGCAGACCAATTTTTTTTTTGTTTTACTGAATTAGATTTTTCACTCACTTTGAAAACCGTTAAGGGATAAATTAGCTTCCATTAAATGAGCTTTTGCCAATTTTACATCCGCTAAGCGCTAACTCACACACAAACATCGTTGGTTACGTATTGTAACCCCAGATTCTATGAGTGTAAGCGCAGCCCTCTAAGGCTACAACAGGTTTGTTGAAGTTAGCTAACTGTTTTTCAAAGCTTGTGAAAAGACAATTAGTTGCTTGTGTTAGCTTCTGCAAACTTTTTTATTATTTTTATTTTTACGTTTAGCATCCATGAAGCTATATTTTTAAATAGAAGATTCTTAGTTAGCAAGTTTAACTTTTTGGTTAGCTGTGCCCACCCTGAAAATGAAGCAGCTGTGTTGGAATAGTTCAGTGTTTTGAAGCATTACATAGTTATCCTGACGTCACACATCCAGGCACTTTGTCACTAGCCGCCATCTTGATAGGCAAACGTCTTCAGTCACAGCAGAGTAAACATTTGACAACAGGAAGCTATTTTTATATGTAATCCCAGTGGTCATTTCTTGTTGGGTTAATGTTCCGGAAACAGGAAGGACCTCAAACAGAGGAGTTAGGCGTTGAACGTYGTGGAGTCTGGCTTTAGAACCCCGACTAAGCCTTCAGAAATGTCTAGAATCTACTCAGACCACTTTTATTCTGGTACATTTTGTTAAAGGGCCWCAGGGCTGCGTTCTGAGCCCCCTCCTGTTCACGCTGCACACAGGACTGCTCAGCAAAACACCCGAGCTGACATAAAGTTCTGCTCAATGTTATTGGCTCCCATGAAGTTTAAGTACATAACGTGGAATATCTCCTGAAAAAAATCAATCAAGTGAAACAGCTTTTGTGTATAGAGCACTCGTACTAAAGAGCAAATGATAAACAACTACAAAAAAAAAAAAAAAAAAAACAATGGGAGAGAAAAATAGAAATACCTAAAGCTTGATGTGTCGGGGCAATGCATTTGTGCTCCTGGACCCCTGTCATAGCAATATAAATAAAGTGAATTTGAAGTGGGGTTTGTTAACATGAGCTTTCTTSTGCTCCTTCAGTAAGGTGCTGAGACCTGAGAAACTGGCTGCTCATGTGTTCGAGGTTGACGAAGACGTAGAAAAAGACGAGGTAAAAATCTTTCGTCATAATTCTCTCTTTTATCTGAGAAAACCACGGTTTGTTTCATGTTTTGTTTTCTTCTTACCAATGGTAGACGCAGTGCTGCTAACAGAAAAGCTACCTTCTTGTTTAAAGCTTGCATTTTTGCTAACTTTGGAAACCATAGGTGGACCAATTAGCTKCCACTAAATTTAGTTTATGAGCTTTTAGGCCAGATTCTAACATTTGTGTAGATACCACATGGCCATGTTTTTAATGACAGACCTTGAGTTGGCGGTTATCAATTAGCGTTTGCTTCCTTTAATTTTCTTACCTGTTTAGAATTTGCAAAGCTAAATTATTTTAGTTAAAAGATTGGCAGTGAGTGAAGCCAACTTTTTGGTTATCTGTGCCCACCACACTGGGAGGACGTGTGATACCTAACATTTACAAACAAACGTACATTTGATGTTTACATGTGAGTGACAATAAAAATCTATAGAGAAAGTGCAAAAGCTATTGTTCATCTAATCAGCTAACAGCTAATCGTGGGACAATTTTTTCATTTAGCAGATTAGCTTTTTCCCTAAATTTGTCCTTTGTGTCAGTCCCACCAGTCTTCATCACAAAGGAAACACTGTGTAATGCAAACTGACCGTCGTCTTAGCAGTTAGCCATTAGCTGTTAGTGTTAGCCTCTGCTAATTTGTATTTGTTTAGCGTTGACTTCTGCAGATTTTTTTGTACGTTTAACGTTAGCAAAGCTCTATTTCTAGTTACTTTAAAGGACACAGCATCAATCAAAGAGCATAGAGTTTAGAAAAAGAGGCAAACATCTTCATCCAGGCTAGGCTAAAGGCTAGCTAAATGAGGGCTTGATTCATTTTTTGCCATTCTTTAGGCTTTTRAAAACAACCCTTTTTTATGACACATTGGTATAAAAGAATGCTACATTAGCTCATTTTACATAACTGCTGCACTTTACTCATGACACAGTTTGTTTAGTTGTCAAACACCTTTAGATTACACACATACATTTGTGTAGTGACTTGGACCTTTTTCAGTTGAGAAAACAGTGAAATAATAAAAAAAGGGCATCATGCAAAAAACTAGCTATCATAGAGTTCTCTCGCAGCGTTAAAGCTGTTTTCATGAAAGAGTTGTTTTATAAGCCTGAACATGGCTTTAAAAACTGCTTCTCATTTAGCAAGCCATTAGCCTAGCCTGAACAAAGATTGTTGCGTCTTTCTCCCTCCTCTGTGCTGTATGACTGATGTTACAGCTGATACCCTTTATTAGAAGACAGTGAATTTCTTTGGCCAGGCAAAATGTACATGCAGCATAGTACATGTAATTAAAGTCATACAAATTTTACTTATGTATGTACCATATTTGTATTGTTTTAACTGATACTCTATGGTCCCTTCACTTCCTCCAGGATGCTGCCTCTCTGGGATCCCAGAAAGGAGGTGTGTCGAAGCATGGCTGGCTCTACAAAGGCAACATGAATAGTGCCATTAGTGTCACTATGAGGGTGAGTATCATACTGGTCATTTGTTACTGAAAACACATTTCAACTTATAAATCTAAAGAAACTTTAGAAAATATCTTCATGTCTAATACTGAGATTTCATAAATGTTCTGGCAGTGTAGTAGGAAGTGTGTAAGAAGTCTATAATAGTCACGTTTATCAGAAATAAGAAGAGCAGCCCTTGAGGATCAGACTTGAACATCCCTGATGAAAAGGAAAAAAAATAGTATAGGTCCTCTGGACGGGTTCTTCTCTAATGAAACGTTTCGTCTCTCCTCCAAGAGACTTCTTCAGTCTGAGAGTTTCAGGCAAAATTCAGGCTTTTTTGAGTCCTGCCTCCAGGCGACTGATACTAACATCACATGGCTATCGTTCACACCTAATTAATACCTATTGTTAACAGGGGATGGAGTGATACTGCCAATGGCAGCGCTGTAGGAGGGGGACAACTGAAAACGGAGGCCYCCACCTCTGTTTAATGATGGACAGTCTTTCTTCACAAAAATGGCTTCTTTTACTCCTCTCTCAAACCAACGTTCCTCCCTATCAAGAATGAGAACATCCTCATCTCTGAAAGAGTGACCGCTGGCCTGTAAATGAGTGAAAACTGCAGAGTTCTGGCCATTAGATGTAGCTCGTCTGTGTTGGGACATTCTTTTGAACAGTGGCTGCTTTGTTTCCCCTATGTATAACTGGTCGCAGTCCTCCTGGCACTTAACAGCATATACAACATTGCTCTGTTTGTGCCGGGACACCGGATCTTTGGGGTGAACCAGCCTTTGCTGTAATGTGTTTTGGAGTTTGAAAGCCACTGGGACATCATGTTTAGAAAATAAACGTCTCAGTTTCTCCGAAACACCCGCAACATATGGAATAACCACTGGTTTGGGTCTGGGTTTGGGGTCTTCATTTTCACCTGAAGGTTGCATGGAATCCTGTCTGTGTTTCCTGTCTGCTTTCAGGAAAGCAGCACACACAGAAAGCAGACAGGAAACACAGACAGGATTCCTTGCAACCTTCAGGTGAAAATGAAGACCCCAAACCCAGACCCAAACCAGTGGTTATTCCGTATGTTGCGGGTGTTTCGGAGAAACTGAGACGTTTATTTTCTAAACATGATGTCCCAGTAGCTTTCAAACCCCAAAACACATTACGGCAAAGGCTGGTTCACCCCAAAGCTCCGGTGCCCCGGCACAAACAGAGCAATATTGTATATGCTGTTAAGTGCCAGGAGGACTGCGACCAGTTATACATCGGGGAAACAAAGCAACCACTGTTCAAAAGAATGTCCCAACACAGACGAGCTACATCTAATGGCCAGAACTCTGCAGTTTTCACTCATTTACAGGCCAGCGGTCACTCTTTCAGAGTTGAGGATGTTCTCATTTTTGATAGAGAGGAACGTTGGTTTGAGAGAGGAGTAAAAGAAGCCATTTTTGTGAAGAAAGACCGTCCATCATTAAACAGAGGTGGGGGCCTCCGTTTTCAGTTGTCCCCCTCCTACAGYGCTGTCATTGGCAGTATCACTCCACCCCCTGTTAACAATAGGTATTAATTAGGTGTGAACAATAGCCATGTGATGTGAGTATCAGTCACGTGGAGGCAGTGCTTAAAAGCCTGAATTTTGCCTGAAACTCTCAGACTGAAGAAGTCTCTTGGAGGRGAGACGAAACGTTTCATTAGAGAAGAACCCGTCCAGAGGACCTATACATTTTTTTTTCCTTTTGATTTTTTACCTGGATTATTGAGATGCATCAGGACATCCCTGATGAAAGCACCACAAATCCATCACAGCTGAGTGGGCTCTGGCATTTGATTAGGATACCTCCTGTTTTTTTTTTCTAGAGTTTGTTCAATTACCTCCAGCTAGGGGAGACACAGTGGTGAGCATAGTTCCACTAACCAGCTAACACCTAAAAGCCGAACTCATTTTTCATTAGATTAGCTTCTGAAAAAACAGTTAGCGGACCAATTAGCTTCTTCTAAAATTTGACAACTATATGTCTGCTAACAGCTAACTAACACACTAACATCAACAGCTTTGTTAATGTTAGCTATTTTTCAACTTTAGTGAAAAGACTAAACTGCTAAACAAAATATTAGTTCTGCTATTAGCTGCTAGCTTCTTAGCAGAACCATGCTTACCACTGGTTGTCACACTATGAAGCATGTGGTGAAGGTCAGAAGATTTGGGCTCCTTACAGTCACTAAGTTGACCTTGAACTCCTCTGAAGACCAAATAATTCTAGAGTCAAATGTGAGACCATCACACAGTGGAAGTTTGGACCAAACTGGGTCCAACAGAACAATGATCCCAAACACAGCTGCTGTCTYTGTAAGGGCACTGTTGGATTATGAGACCACCTAAAAGAAGGCAGAAGCTATTTAATGGAAAAAAGTGTATTTTTGTTTCTCCCTTTGGACTAGTCATTGCTTTGTATAGTTTTATTTTACCCWTGAGCTTTCTCTTGCCCTGTTTCCATTTTATTTTTAGAACAGGATGGATGGAAGTGTTCATGTTATTCTCCCTTTAATGCCCTAGTCTTTCAAAAGGAGGTACTTCCATCTTGCTCAGCTGGGCGATGGATCCTACAACCTCAACTTCTACAAAGATGAAAACACCTCCAAGGAGCCCAAAGGAACCATTTTCCTTGACTCTTGCATGGGGGTTATTCAGGTAAGGTTTCTTGAGTACACTGAATATAAAATAGCTTCATTTGAACTTCTTTTTAATGGATTTATGTTCTTTCAGAACAGCAAAGTGCGTCGATTCGCCTTTGAGCTGAAGATGCAGGACAAAAGCACGTTTCTGCTGGCTGCAGACAGCGAGGCAGAGATGGAGGAGTGGATCAGCACCCTCAACAAGATCCTCCACAGCAGCTTTGAGCAGGCCATGCAGGAGAAGAGGAACGGAGACCTGATTGACGGTGAGCTTGTGTTTGACCATATTTCATCTTTCACAACATGAAGATCTCTTCATTCCTCAACAGTAGGGTAAGGACGTTGTGTTAAAACATCCTCAAGAGTTCGGCCAAATTTCAAACAAATCCATTTCTATCTCAAAATAGTCAAAGTCTTTATGAGCGTCTTCGCAATTTAGTTTCCGCAAATCAGAAACTTGACAACTTTAGGGTCTGTGGAATYAAATTAGGACCGACTCGAGACACAGTTGAAATACTTTGTAATGAAACTGCAACATATGAATTTTCAAGAATATTTGCAGTGTTGTTAGTCATTGCACGGACCAGTTTATTGTCAATGCAAGCAAAGTTGTCTGGATTTGGCAAAAATTCACAAAATTTGTGTTATATTGAATGTTTTGTACACTTGAGGTTAGACTTAACCAGTGGTGAGCAAAGCTAACCAGAGTGTTTGCTTCGCTGACTCATAATCTACTAACTAAAAATTTAGCTTCGCTAATCCTAAACCGCTAAACATGTATAAAACATTAGGGGAAGCTAATGCTAAAMAGCTAAACAAGTAACAAATAGTGAAACCTAAAACTGACAACTAATGCTAACTGCTAAGACAACTGTCACCCAGACGGCTTCTCACGTCTTCATCTCCTTCCAGCTGAAGACTGGTGGGTCTGACACAAACCTATTGATGTTAGCTTGTTAGTTAGCTGTTAGCAGACTTAAAGTTGACGAAATCTCATTGGTCTGCTAACGGTTTTCAAAATTAGTGATAAAGCTAATCTGCTAGTTGAAAAATTATTTCCACTGATTAGTGGAAGCCACTAAGGTTTTTTTTTTTATGAAATCTGATAGCTAATGGAAACTAACTTTTTAGTTAGATGTGCCCACCACTGATACYCACAGTAGAAAAGGACATTCAGGTGGACATGTGATATCTAACATTAAAAAGCAAATGTACATTTAATGTTTACATTTGAGTAGAAAAAAAAGCAAAAAAAATACACTACAGACAATGGTAGGCATGGTAATCAGCTAACAGCTTAGCTAATTATTTGTTTAATGGATTGGTTTTTCCACTAACCATTAGTGGATCAATTAATTTCTACTAAGTTATGTTGTGCAAAAATGTAATTTTTCTAGCAATGTTTCTACATTTTTGCTTCTAGCACATCACTAATACCCTTTTCCCACGAGCRCCTCTRTAGCAYGGYTCGACTYGGCTCTCGAGGATTCTTGTAACCAGCCCCTTTTTCAGAACTCACTGCTCTGTGGTTCCAAGTGTACYGTGCTAGCCTGAAAMCAAGACATCAGAAGGCTGTCAGTCAGTGATGAGTTAGGTGGGCGGAGTCAGTGGTTGCGTCACAAGAGCTRCTCTCATAACAACAACAAAAAATAAATAAACAAAAAAATAACAACCCGATCCGCCATTTGCAATAACTTTGCTGTGTCCTCTATTGTTGTGTTGCACATCTTTTTGAGGTCTTCTTCTTCTATGTTTAATGGTGGCTGACCAATCACTTAATGGAGCATAACTGCCACCACCAGCTGGTAAGGTGTATGGCACCAATTGTTGGACTCTGGKACTGCCCAACTTTACAATGAACCCACCCACTAGAGCTGCTACTGGAGTGTAATGATAAACCATCCAAACCGTTTTGAACAGAGTTCAGCCTAGTCAAGCTGTGCTGTAGAGGCACTAGTGAAAAAGGGGCATAAGGKTAAATATCTCACTGGGCTAGTGCAGGTCTTCAACAATGGGGTCACGACCCCTAGTGGGTATGTGAAGGTACTGCTAAGTTCATGAGATTGTTCGATTTTTATTTGTTACTTATTTTTWAATTTTTAAGTTATGTCTTAGTATCAAATACACAGTAATAATGTATGTAATATCTAGCCTAGTTTATTATATTAACAAGCCTAATTTATTATAAAACACGTTATAATAAACTTGCAGTTTTGTAKTTTGAATTTTGAATGTGGATGTCTTGTTGATCTCTACCAGATGARGAGCAGGGAAAAACAGACCTTTCCTCTGGAAGCTTTCAAGACACCTTTCAGGTAGCTTGCTTATCCATTTATCCCTACATAATACATTTCTGATTTATCCACTCAGCACACCAAACCTTTTAGTASTAATTAATGGCTGATGTTCTTGGAAAGTCTTGACTGTAACTGGAGCTYTGCTCTGAGCCAGTAAGCTAACGACTGGATTTCCTGCAGCCACACTTTCCACCAAGTTTCACATCTGGTTCAGTGTGTTCTGTTTCCAAATGTAACGCTTGTGTTAAAATGGAAATGCAGCTGTTCAACATAAAGGCTTCATCTGTTCTAGTCAGGGATTTTCTTACTACTTGTCTCAAGACTGTGTTTAAGGCCCTGTCACACTAGACAACTTATGCCAACTTATGAAACATTTTTATGTCTAAATTGCTTACAAAAAGTTGTATATTTGATCAATTTGTTAGAATTACAGTATGTACACACCTAAAAGAAGCTTCCAGTTGATTTTTTCAATTCCTTCTTCAACATAGATGTCTTTAAAATGTTCGTAAGTTGGCATAAGTTGTCTAAAACCTAATAGTGTGACTGGGCCTTTAGACGTGATTTTGCTAATGGCTCTGAAGTTACCCTTAATTTAAAAGAACATTATACATTCCTTAAAATTATTGTTTTGGTCATCTTGACCTCATGTCAGTCAAAAACAAAAGTCACTATGTATTACATATACATTACTTTCCAAATATCAATAGTTAATGTAGCCTCAACTGAGTGACTGCAGGAAGTGTAAAAATGATTAAAGTTGCTGCAATAATACATTTAAAAAATGTATTATTAGAAATTGTACAAAATGATTATATTCAACCAACCAGCAAGCAAAAAATCAACACAACAGTCAACCAACAATCCAGCCAACCAACATAATCAACCAATCAACACAACCAACAAACATAACCAACTAACCAATCAACACAATCAACCAATCGACACAACCAACCAACAAATATAACCAACTAACCAATCAGCACAATCAACCAACAAACATATCCAACTAACCAAGCAGCACAATCAACCAATCAACAACCAACAAATAAACATATCCAACTAACCAATCAGCACAATCAACCAATCAACAACCAAAAAATTAACATATCCAACTAACCAATCAGCACAATCAACCAATCAACATAACCAACCAACAAACATAACCAACTAACCAATCAACACAACCTACCAACAAACATATCCAACTAACAAATCAGCACAATCAACCAATCAACACAACCAACCAATAAACATAACCAACTAAACAATTAACACAACCAACCAACAAACATAACCAACTAACCAATCAACACAACCAACCAACAAACATATCCAACTAACAAATCGGCACAACCAACCAACAAACATAACCAACTAACTAATCAACACAACCAACCAAAAAACATAACCAACTAACCAATCAGCACAACCAACCAACAAACATAACCAACTAACCAATCAGCACAATCAACCAATCAGCACAACCAACTAACCAATCGGCACAACCAACCAACAAACATAAGCAACTAACCAATCAGCACAATCAACCAACAAACAACCAACTAACCAATCAACACAACAAACAAACATAACCAACTAACCAATCCGCACAACCAACCAACAAACATAATCAACTAACCAATCAACACAACCAACCAACAAACATATCCAACTAACCAATCAGCACAACCAACCAACAAACATATCCAACTAACCAATCAACACAACCAACCAACAAACATAACCAACTAACCAATCAGCACAACCAACCAACAAACATATCCAACTAACCAGTCAACACAACCATCCAACAAACACATCCAACTAACTAATCAGCACAATCAATCAATCAACACAACCAACCAACAAATATAACCAACTAACCAATCCGTATGTACACACCTAAAAGAAGCTTCCAGTTGATTTTTTCAATTCCTTCTTCAACATAGATGCCTTTAAAATGTTCGTAAGTTGGCATAAGTTGTCTAAAACCTCATAGTGTGACTGGGCCTTTAGACATGATTTTGCTAATGGCTCTGAAGTTACCGTTAATTTAAAAGAACATTATAGATTCCTTAAAATTATTGTTTTGGTCGTCTTGACCTCATGTCAGTCAAAAACAAAAATCACTATGTATTATATGTACATTACTTTCCAAATATCAATAGTTAATGTAACCTCAACTGAGTGACTGCAGGAGGTGTGAAAATGATTCATTTTACTGCAAATTGAATCTAACCAACTAACCAATCAGCACAACCAACCAACAAATGGAGACAACCAGTCAACCAACCTTTTAATCCATAAATCAAACAGGTCCTCCTGGGAGGAGCTCAGSTGCAGACAGAGCTATGTATAAATAGGTGGTACTTTTTACCAGCAAGCATTTWGGCCACTCCTCATGACTACCACAGGAGAATCAAGGATTTCTCCAACATGCATKAATGAGTCAAAGCAACACTCTGTTTTGGATGAAGGAATGATATTATAACATGAGATAAAGCTCAAGAAAGTCAATTTTGCTCAATTCCCCCCTCCCCACCCCCATATTCTCAAAAAACTATTCTGTGCTCTAAAGCTTTACATGTTATCTTATTTACTTACTTATTCAGATTTATATTCTTATGACCGGAGCACCTTACACTGACTGCACAGTTCTTCATGTATCTCTGATTGTAATGTCACTGTTTTCTCTTGGTTTCTAACAGACAGCCAGAGATATTGAATCTAAAATGAGGAGTGAAGCTCGGCTCAAGCTGTTYACTCTCGATCCTGACACACAGGTAAAGAGAAGAGTGATTAACTCCACATTCTAAGTATTCTATGGGTTATTTCTGCTGTGGTGATGGTTTTATCTCTGCCTTTTTTTTTACCTTTCTTCACAGAAACTGGACTTTTCTGGTATCGAACCAGACACTCGTCCGTTTGAGGAGAAGTTCGGGAAGAGAGTTCTGGTCAGCTGTCACAACCTGTCCTTTAACCTCCAGGGCTGTGTCGCAGAAAACGAAGAGGGACCAACAACTAACGTATGTTTTAGTTGGATGAACCGGAAAAATGCCTTTGAGGAAATGTATTTTCAGATGCCAAGGGGACTACCCTCTTTTAAGTTTCTCAAGGATGACATGGTTCTTAAAAAATGTTTGGACTTCAGTTTTGTAACCCTTCGGCAAGAAAAAAAAAAAAATTTGTGTGAGCAATTTTACAGATGATAGCTGTCACCTGCCCAGGTAAGTTGAAAAACAACAYGTTGTTTTGTTCGGTCTATCTGTGATCTACGGTTAGCTTTCGTAACTTACTGTGAGGAAAATAAGTATTTGAACACTCTGTAACTTTGCAAGTTCTCTCACTTAGAAATCATGGAGGGGTCTGAAATTTTCATCTTCGGTGCATGTCCACTGTGAGAGACATAATCTAAAAAAATAATCCGGAAATCACAATGTAAGATTTTTTAAATAATTTATTTGTGTTACTGTTGCAAATAAGTATTTGAACACCTGTGAAAATCARTGTTAATATTTGGCACAGTAGTCTTTGTTTGCAGTTACAGAGGTCAAACGTTTCCAGTAGTTTTTCACCAGGTTTGTAGACACTGGTTTGCACACACTGCAGCAGGGATTTTGGCCCATTTCTCCACACAGATCTTCTCTAGATCTGCCAGGTTTCTGGGCGGTCGCTGAGAAACACAGAGTTTGAGCTCCCTCCAAAGATTTCTTATTGGGTTTAGATCTGGAGACTGACTAGGCCACTCCAGAACCTTGATATGCTTGTTACAGAGCCACTCCTTGGTTATCCTGGTTGTGTGCTTCGGGTCATGGTCATGTTGGAAGACCCAACCACGTTTCATCTTCAGTGCTCTAACTGAAGTGAGGAACCAGTCCAGAAATACACAGGAGGAGCTGGTCAATGACCTGAAGAGAGCTGGCACCACTGTTTCCAAGGTTACTGTGGGTCATACACTAACCGTCAGGGTTTAAAATCATGAAGTTTCCTCTGCCTAAATCAGCACACATCCAGGCCTGTCTTAAGTTTGCCCAGGACCATTTGGATGATCCAGAGGAGTCATGAGAGAAAGTTATGTGACCAGATGAGACCAAAATAGAACTTTTTGGTCTTGATTCCACTCGTCATGTTTGGAGGACGAAGAATGATGAGTACCATCCCAAAAACACCATCCCTACAAGGAGAGTATTACCGGGGCCATGTATTGTGAGATTTTGGGAAACAAATCCCCTTCCCTCAGTTGGAGCATTGCAGCTGGGTCATGGCTGGGTCTTCCAACATGACCATGACCCGAAGCACACAGCCAGGAGAACCAAGGAGTGGCTCTGTAACAAGCAATATCAAGGTTCTGGAGTGGCCTAGCCAGTCTCCAGACCTAAACCCAACAGGAAATCTTTGTAGGGAGCTCAAAATTATGGTGCGTTCACACCAAACGCGATTTCAGCGTCAGGAGCAGCAGGTTTACATACAAAGTCTATGGT